ATATGAATAATTGTGTGGCTGCGATTAGGTTAAGTTAGAATAGTTTTTGTAGCATTTAAGAAAAGTATATTTAAATAAAAATTAGAATTGAATCAACAGCCAAACCATAAGGTCGTGCGTCTCTTTTCAATTTACATTTGGTCAATCGAGCCTTCACTTTTTTATAAAGTGAAAAGAGCTAGCGACCACAAAAAAGAAAATTGCAGGAGTTTTCTCCCACCAGTGGTATGAGACTCTCTACAAGTGTATGTAGCTATTCTTCAGAAAAATAGGAGCATTTCTACAAAAAACAAAGTCCACTGAGGCATTTTAATAAAAAAGCCATAGGGGCAAACAAACAAAAACAACAGGGGCAAAAGCAAAAAAATATACACAAAAAACTAAAAGGGGACAAGTAAAAAATAAAACAAACTGAAAAGAGGACATCAAATTGTCCAATGCTAAAATTCAAAAGGAATTCGGAATAATGGATAAAGAAGCAAGTTTTTTAGTTTTGACAGATTATTTCTGCACAACATTGGCATCGGTAAGCCAATTTAAAAATATTCACAGTGTGAATCGCTACAAAATTCTGATAGAAAACGCCTATTACGTTCAAAAGCTAAAAAGTTTTAAGAAGGACATTCCCCAGAGAATCCAGGAATGTTCTGTAGCAGTAGATAAATCCCTCGAGTTAGGGAGTAAACTGTTGGCCACGAGAACACGAGGCCGTAAGTGGGTTGGAAATCCTGCTGAAATTGAGGAGAGTTTAAAACCACCAGATGGCTGGAGCCTCGAATGTGAGTTCTATTTCCTTAGTCCGGAGGAAGTAGCAATGGAGGCTGAGGATTGTGCGAAGATTGTATTTCCCAACTTTGGCCCGACAACAAAGCATAGGCCCTCACAGACAACAAGCTGTGGAAAAGAGGCAAAGGGTGATATAAAATGCCCTTTGGATGACAACAGAGAAGATGAAAGGTATAATCGTGACCGGGAGACTCTCGAGATGGCCCGAAGATATTGGCTGTTTTATTCACATGATTACGAATGTGACTGGTGCGTTTATGTGGCCGCTCAAGATTTTGAGGAAATGTACATGTTCCCGCCGGCAAATCCTCACTTGGAGGAAAAGGGGAAAATATGGGCAACAACGATAAAGCTAAGGAAGAGGAAAGCCGTAGCATGACATCCCAATTGACCAAATCAACTACTAGAATAAACCTATTAGAAAATGACCTGAAAGAAGCGAATGATACCAAAATGAGGCTTCAAGATTTGTTGCAGTCCTTGGTCGATAAATTTGACAATGTACTACTGACCATTAGAGAAGAGTCTGACAAGCAACGACATGACCTGAAAAAGCAACTACAAGATCTGGAACAGCAAAATAGAAAATTGGAAGTCAAGGTGGCAAAACTCGAAGCATCACATGACAAAGAAAGTAAGCCAGCGTATATCGATGCATCGCTGCAAGAATTCGAAAACATTTTTGGAGTGGATCCCAATTGCCACAAACCATCTAAGAGAGATGTGATAATTCAGAAGGATCAGAAAACTTCGGAGAAGATAAGCGAGGCAAAGTGAAAAAAGGATTATTACACAGCGAAACCAACTTCGGTTCCACAGCAAGGTAACAATGACAAACCCCGGGAATCCTCATTGAAAAACCGCGTGTAAAATACATCATCAACGAGCTAAACTCGGATGCCCTAAAAAAGTGCACTTTGAATTATAGCAGCCAGCAACTACTAAATTATACTTCAACAAGGAATTCTATGACTTGGAAGATGAAACCGGCTGATAAAGGTGACGGTAGCGTTGGAAGAAGCTGGATAGAGAAGTCTTTCCTGTAAGCACTTGCATCCAAATAATATATTATAATTATTAGTTAAAGTTTTATTTTTAAGTTTAAATATCTGTATATTTTTATATAATCTTCTTCATGATCCATTTTAAATACTAATTCAGTCCAATAAAATATACGCATTTACGCCGCCCGGGAGAATGTACAAAATACTTTGTACATACTTTTGAGTGTGGGTGAGGCGCTGGGAAAATCTAATAAATAAAAATAAATATTTGAAAATGATCAGTCCCCAGCGATAAAACATCACATATGTAGAATTCAGTGATCTTGTGAGCTGTCGCATACGATAATGTGTAAGATAATAAAGGTCATGACCCACACTCACAGTATCGATGCGTACAGTGGATAGCCAAGACCACTTGAATGAAGAGACAGACAGCCATGTAATGTTCCCTATTAAATCTAAAAATAGATATGAATAATTGTGTGGCTGCGATTAGGTTAAGTTAGAATAGTTTTTGTAGCACTTAAGAAAAGTATCTTTAAATAAAAATTCGAATTGAATCAACAGCCAAACCATTCGGTTGTCTTTCTCTTCCCACTTAAACATTTGGTCGCTCGAGCCGGATCGAGAATTAATTCTACAGCGAAACCATTCGTCTCGTTTAAACAGCTGGCTTTTTGTTTGTATCACATCTAATCGTCGGCCTTCGCCGACACTTATTCCCCGAGGTTTTATTGTGCAAACTTAACATCTATGATTGCACAGAGATAACTTCTTGATTCCACCATGCTCCCAGCCTGCAACGTTGTTCAACTTCTCCAGGTGTCTCCTTTTTTTCTTTCTTTTTCTCGCTCTACAAATTCCCTTTGTCGCTGTAGATCTTTTCAAAATCAACACACCGGTACCAATGAAGTGGGAACAACTCATCCAAAACCTATATTTTCAAATTTAATTGATACCAGTACCCGCGTGAAAACTTGTCGATGTCTTGTTTTAATATCTTGTGGGTAATTCTTTCGGGCAGTATTTAAAAGATTCCATTTATATCACACTGCATTTTTGTATATAAATTGAATATCTATTAATTGTGTTTATATTGTCCTGCAAGCGTTGATATGGCCTCTAAATATTAAATTTTATTTATGTGTAAATTTTGGTAAATATGTTCCCTTCTCTAGGACTGGATTCTTGTTCTTCGGAATCATGAAATGAAATATATTATGTTATAATTTTTTTCATATGACATTATATATTTATTTCACATGTCCCTAGAACGAGAATTGAGCCCCTGGTTACCTACATCTTTTCATTCTAATATTATTATTTTATCATGTAAATATCCATAAGTATTATTATTCCTGGGTTCGGCAATAAACACAAGAGATCCGAGGTAGCTTGCTATGAAATTGAACTTTACTAACATTGTAACGACAGGATTTCTCCCCCTGGGCCAGTATAGATCGTCGACAGATATTTTATTTATTGAGAAAGAAAAAGACAGTGGTTTACTTTTTTATATTATATTTTTATTTGAAGTGGAACTTGAACTATATATAAACTATAGATTTAAACATCTATCCTACTCGTCTTCGGGTCGGGATTGGGGGTTCTTCCACTCGAGACCTAGATAAGTACTCAAGGAACGGGACAAGGATACAGGAACAGGGTGTTCAGGATTCAAGATGGATTCTATGCGAGAGACCTGGATAAGTACTCAAGCAGGCTACAGGATATTCAGGGATACGGCTGCAAGAGATCTTTCGCTACAAGGATCGAAGCTGGTGTTGTCACGTTTACGGTCTGGCACTGACTGTCCCTATTCTGCCATCGACTGCCCTTTTATACCCGGCCCCACCACGTGATCGCAGTGGAGTAACGGGAACTTGTTTACAAAATTTAGTTATCACAACAACATCACATATGCTCATCACCGCCAATCATGGTGATGAGTGATGCTGTCTGTTGTTGTGATAATTGGCTGGAAAATTTCTCATAGCGTTTTGTGTAGGCAAAAATTACGAAGGATTTTTGCCGTCACACTTTCTCCTTTCCTGGGTGGGGTTCTTTAATTTCTAGGTATGACAACTACGTGACCCTTGCGTCCTACCAATATTCGGAGTTTACAGCTTTCGACGGTAACTACTCGCTTATATTACTCTCCGCGGGGAGTCTTATTTCGCAAAGGAAGTTAACGTCATACTCCAATCTCGCAGGTATAGCCGCAACACTTCTTAGTTCTTCGGGGGGTCTGGAGGTTTCCTCTTTAAAAGTTTTCATAAGTACTGTGATACTACCTGGAGTCTTCGTAGCTGCGTTGCGATGGAAGGCAACGGATGGGTTCCTCATTGAAGTAATTGAGTAATTGTTTGGCTTCGTTCTCTGGACTGACTTCGGCGAGATCGCGGGTCGCGGATTTTTGGATGGTGCGTTAAGGACTTGTTTCCTAAGCTTCGGAGCTGTGCGATATTTGTCGTTCGCCGAAATGCATGTTGTCTTTGGTACTGGTTCCGCTTTTGGAACCCTTTGTGCCGTTTTTTCTGTCATGTTGTTGCCTTGGAATCTCTGACTGTAAAGCACCGGGCTTATGTTGCTAGTCGATGTCACCGCGAGATGCAGATTTTTCGCTGAGTGTGTACCTGCACGTTGATTTGCTTTAAGAGTATATCACAGCTCCGCCCGGATCCAAGAATCCAAGAATTATGTCTTCACTGGCATCTGACATCACAAAGAATCCAATTTTTTGTCGGCTCTTACCAAAGCATACCTCTGTAGTCATTATTTACTGTATTTCTCGCTGGGACCCGTCTGCTAGCCTGATTGTGGTTCCTGACACGCTCTTCAATGTATTGAGATCAATTATCTGCGCCATTTTCTCGCTTTCAGAACTTCTGGTTGCTCCGGTGTCGACAGTGGCCGAATACAAGTCATTCTTTATTAAAATCTTGGCAATTAGACGTGAGTCCGCGAAATAAAGGGCTGTGCTTCGGTTGTAGGGGGAACCGTCATTGAACCCACATTCCCTAGGTCCATGCAGGCTCGACGCTCGTTTCCCAAACGTTTTCGGCAACACTCTATTGTCCTAACCACTTTCCGTAATCTGTTGATTACGTCAACTGGCTGCGACGTGTCCCTCTTGACCACATCGATGGCAGACAGTGGCGGGGTTGTAAGCTCTTTCTGGGTCCTTTCTTAGTTTTACATGCTCGATGTGTCTGTGGTGGTCTCTGGCAGTACTTGGTATGGATGGTATATCTTCGAGATCTTCCGCCATCTTCAGGAGGCCCGCCAAATCGGAAAAATACTTCCGCCTGATGTACCACATATACTCAGGTAGGGCATTCTATTAAATTCGCTCCACTCTCTGTTCCTCCGTGTAATCGGTATGCCTCATCAAGTCTTGCATGGACGACATGTAGTCCTTAAATAACGCCCGAGGCTTCTGCTTCCTTTGGCGTATGTCGTCTTCTAAGTTTTCCATGAATTGCGGAGGGAGGAAGAACTTTAAAAGATCTTTTCGGAATGCCTCCCAAGATTGCCATGGCTTGCGATTATTGCGGAACCACATTAATGCCCATCCGTGGAGAACCTCAGGCATCATTTTTACGAACATCTCGGCATGTTCTTCCAGTCACTCCACGAATTCAAACGACTTACTCTCCCCAGCAAAACTTATACCCAACACTTATGGTGAAACATTCGATCCAACATCAGAATATTATTTTTATATATTTATATTTTTCTTTAACCATCAGACTTGATCACTTCTGCTGCTGTAACCTGGAGATTGTGGCATTAAATTCTCGCTGTCTAGGTGACCGTAGTTTAATGCACGGTACGATGAGTTGGAAAATTTTGCAAGCAAAGAGGCCTACCTGTTTGGATTGTAATGTCAGAATTACTATCAACAAATGCAGAAAGTTGTTTATCAAATAAACAAAATAACTTGTTACATTTATTATTATTAGAAAATTAAATGAAAGGTGTACAAGTCTTTTCAAAATTATGTTCTTTATTTCACTGTAGACTTATTTCGCTAAAACTGTAATTTTTGTCCCTTCATACGTTGTAATACGCATTTTGATTGCAACTGGATTTTAATATTTTCTTAACGTATTTAATATGATTGAAAAGAACACAAACATGCGCAAATTTAAACCAGGCAAATAAAAAAATAATAAAATCGATTGTATTCAGCGTCCAAACTTAATTTAATTCCACATAAAGTATATATATTTATGATCAGCATACAATTCTAAGTCGCTGTGTCAGTCTGTTTGCCTGTTGTAATCATGATACAGTCCACATTATTTAACAAAGAGCTTGGAAATTTTGTGTGTATAGGATGGTTGGTATTGAAAATGAGATATATCGGTATCTCCCGATATTCAGTATTTTTATGATTTTAGTCACATTCTTCTACAAAATTATTCGAAATTTGCAATTAACAGTTTGTAACGGGTCGACCTTCCTACAGATCATTGTCTATAAAGGTCCACTTTTTCCTATTGCGCCCATATAACAAAACATTCCGATGTTCTGTATTTTAATGGTGTTAGCCCCATTTTTCAACAGCCCCATTTAGAAAACTTTCCAAAATAATTTTAGTTTTATTTAATTCTTTGGTTCCTTTTCTATTGAGTTTTACGATCTCGTCATTTATGTAAAAAATGTTTTTTGTCATGGAAGTCTTTTTTTAAATAAATTCTGGGGAGAATATCCCAGACAAAAAACAAGGGAACCGATGAGGATTGGTGGCTCTTTCCGAAACCTAGGTATTCCTTGCCTTACCCACTGGTAAACATTACCATCTTTCTCCACTAATAAACATTGCTTTTTATGAAAACAACAATAAAGAGATAAAGCCTGGCCATTTTGCAACAACAAAAATGTTTTCTTTTATTTTTGTTCGTAGATGGACAATGTCGTCTCAATACTCACAGGCTATGGTAACTTCTAAAATTTTGCCAAACTTTGACCTGCAGAGAAAATAGAAATATGGTCCCTCCCATGGTATAAGAATACAGGTAGTCGCATCGACACAGCTGCTGGGACAGTGAACTGTCAAACCAATTTTAAAATTGGCATTTTTAAATGAAAAATTATTCAAATTTCGTAACAACCTCCAATTGGCGTCCAATAGGAAAACATATACAAGCAAAATCTAAAAAATTTTGACACATCGACGTTCCCAAGCGTTGATCCATCTACCTGTATTCTTCTACCATGGTCCCTCCTCCCCTGGCACCTCCCCAAAAAGTATACATTTTTATAATCGCGAGTGGGTGAAGATTTTGTTTGGCCATTTTATTACAAAACCATCAGCTTCTTAAAGAGAAATTTTCTTGTGCATCGTTGTCACCAGTAAATTTAGCACATCACAATGATATTCGTGCTGTATTTCGGTTTTCAAATTAGTACTTATGAATCTTTAAGTGCCCATATCTTTCGATGTATTAACTTTTGCTAAAACAAAAAAAAAACTGTATTTTTTGAGAATTTGCCTGCTGGTCGAGCTTATAATTGGGCCACGTTATTCCCTAATCCATTAATACTTGTCCTCCATGTATCATACTATGTGGCAACATCTACATATGCAAAATCTGACTCTACACACAAATAAAATATTGTTTGATAAAGCTTTTACCGTAGTAAAAAGCACTTTTGGAACAGAGCAACAATGGTAGAAGAATACAGGTGGTCGCATTGACACAGCCGTTGGGACAATAAACTGTCAAACTAATTTTGAAATTGAAAATTTTGAATGAAATGTTATGTAAATTCGTAAAAAATTGTTGAAAAAATAATATCATAACAATCTCCGATTGTCGTCGTATAAGAAAAAATATAAAATTCTACTTATTTTTGAAAAACATTTCAAAACTTCTGACATATCAATGTTCCCAAGCGTTGATGCATCTACCTAAATTCTTCTGCCATGAGAGCAACTATAAGGCCGGATATTACATTTTTACGATAGATAAAAACATGATGCTGTAGGATGAATAAATTGTTTTCGTTATTACAAATTTCATTTAAATATGAACTGTCCGATAAGCAACAGGTCAGACTTCCTTCCAATCACCTTTTAACGTAAAATTTACTAAATTAATGTTGCATATTTTATACTGATAAAATGACAATAACAGCAAAATGTATTCAATTAAAAATATATATAACGCAGATAGTGTTTTTATATTAAAGAACTGAATTGAAGATTTAATTCATGAAATTAAATTCAAATTCGATCTGTTTATTTTTAACTAAAATAAAGATGCATTTTTGAAAAAAATGTAGTGACTACTAGTTACATTTAAAAAAAGCTTGTCATATCTCTGAAAAAAAAAAACATTTATTTTAAATGAGCAAAAAGACAAGGTTTCCATCTCTGATTTGTGGACTTACAATGAATTTATAAATATATATTTTGACAATGAGATGGTGTCAAACGAATAATTTTGAAAAAATTGTAAACATATGATTGCGTGACTTTGCCTTAATTTCTCTTCCTTATAGTCCAGTTTGGTTATCTCTTACTTTGGAATAGTAAAAGGACAAAATGCACATTATCAGGTTTTCATTATTATTGTTCTATTATAAAACTGCAAGCATGCAAAAAATTTATCTACGATATCCAATTTACCTTTACAATATGGAAAAGTTGCAAAACGAGTAAAGGTAAATTCATTGTAAGTACACATATCAGAGATGGAAACATTGTCTTTAAACAGTGAAATTTGACAAGGTAAAATACAGAGATGGGAATGTTTAATTGAAATGACTTTATCTTCTTAATTTTACTAAAATTGTCTGAACTTAGTTTTAAGCTCGATTTCCATTAAAAAATACGGAACATTGCATAAGTGTATATTCGGTTGCGAAGTAGTATTTTGTAAATCGTGTAGATTTTATGTTGAATAAATAAAGAAAATCGTATAGCCAATACAAATACATTAGCTGCTCACATCGTAACAGCTGACGGTACGGTAGAAGAATAGAGGTGATACGTCAAACGTTAAACATTGTTATGTAAAAAAACATTAAATAATAACTTAAAAATAATTATATTTGCGATTTGCGAGAACCTAAGACATCCGCCTTTCATAAGAAAATGCTCATGCATGGTAGAAGAATACAGGTAGTGGCATCCACACAGCTGCTGGGACAATGAACTGTCAAACCGATCTTGGAATTGATAATGTTGAATGAAAAATTATTGAAATTTGCAAAATTGTTTAAAAATGCATCCAATATGCGTCGTATAAGAAAACATATAAAAATTTACTTATTTTTGACAAAACATTTTAAAAATTTTGACATATCAATGTTTCCAAATTTTAATGCATATACCTGTATTCTTCTACCATGTACTCCTGTTCATGGTAGAAGAATACAGGTAGATAGACATTGATATGTCAAAAATGTTGTAGATTTATATATGTTTTTCTACACGAAGCCAATCGGAGATTGTTATAATATGCAGTTATTAACAATTTTTATAAATTTGAATAATTTTTCATTAAAAAATGTCAAATGCAAAATTGATTTGAAAGTTCAACAACTGCGTCGATGTGACTTCTACCACGGTACAATAAAAAGGTAAGGTAGAGCTACCAGCTGATTAATTTTTTTTCTAACTTCTTCCAATTTTGTGTATGTATTTATTGTTTTGAAAAATAAAAACAAAATATTTTCAGAATTAATGATTGGAAAAAACTTACTTTGTGGAACGCGCATTAAAGCTATTCGCCAGTTTTGCCATGGATTTGAAAGATCAAACTCTTTAGATCACATTTTTGAAAGAAAATCAAGACATTTAATAATTTTTTGCGCTATTTAACTCATTTTGAAAATTAGGGAAACTATCGAATAAATGAAACAAACATGTTGTATGCAAATTTGACAGAAAGCGGGTATGGCCTCGAGGTGTATTTCTGTAGTTTTGCAAAGCTGTTCACCTCCTTATTGTACTATGACTCCTACCTGCTCATGCTAGTATCTAATACACTAGCTCGTGTAAACTTTGGGTTACTAGAATGGACGTTTTCACAGAATCTATCTTTTTGTTATGTCATATCCGTGTGTGGTAACACTATTATTTATATTCACAGGGTGGCAACTACCTTCAAACAAACGTCAAAAAATACCTTTTTTCTGTCCGCCTTTTTCCGGTCGGTCCTAAAACTGTAAGTTCGTGTTTTTTGAGAATAAAAATTTTCTTGTTTTGAATCGGAGGCTATAGTCAATTAAATGTTTTGAAAATGTGAAAATTTCGTGATACACATGTTAAGTTGTATAATGCGTACAATATTTGTAACAATTAATTCCTAATTATTTGTTTATTTTGATATTTGTCTGATCTAAAATGTATAATTACTGCTACGTAGCTGATATACTGTTTTCAATTTTCCTGCATTTAGTTTCAAGTTTTACAAATTAAACTGTCTTCTTTGAAATGGTTCATCTGTTTCAAAATTTCCCTGTCTTACAGTGTTATCAACATGAGGACTATTAACTCCAATCAGTGCGTTAAGATCCCCAAGAATATCAAGGCGTCCGTCAAGGCCCGCGTTGTTACAATATCGGGCCCAAGAGGTATTCTTAAACGCAGCTTCAAGCACTTGGCCTTGGAAAAATACTTCCGCCTGATGTACCACATATACTCAGGTAGGGCATTCTATTAAATTCGCTCCACTCTCTGTTCCTCCGTGTAATCGGTATGCCTCATCAAGTCTTGCATGGACGACATGTAGTCCTTAAATAACGCCCGAGGCTTCTGCTTCCTTTGGCGTATGTCGTCTTCTAAGTTTTCCATGAATTGCGGAGGGAGGAAGAACTTTAAAAGATCTTTTCGGAATGCCTCCCAAGATTGCCATGGCTTGCGATTATTGCGGAACCACATTAATGCCCATCCGTGGAGAACCTCAGGCATCATTTTTACGAACATCTCGGCATGTTCTTCCAGTCACTCCACGAATTCAAACGACTTACTCTCCCCAGCAAAACTTATACCCAACACTTATGGTGAAACATTCGATCCAACATCAGAATATTATTTTTATATATTTATATTTTTCTTTAACCATCAGACTTGATCACTTCTGCTGCTGTAACCTGGAGATTGTGGCATTAAATTCTCGCTGTCTAGGTGACCGTAGTTTAATGCACGGTACGATGAGTTGGAAAATTTTGCAAGCAAAGAGGCCTACCTGTTTGGATTGTAATGTCAGAATTACTATCAACAAATGCAGAAAGTTGTTTATCAAATAAACAAAATAACTTGTTACATTTATTATTATTAGAAAATTAAATGAAAGGTGTACAAGTCTTTTCAAAATTATGTTCTTTATTTCACTGTAGACTTATTTCGCTAAAACTGTAATTTTTGTCCCTTCATACGTTGTAATACGCATTTTGATTGCAACTGGATTTTAATATTTTCTTAACGTATTTAATATGATTGAAAAGAACACAAACATGCGCAAATTTAAACCAGGCAAATAAAAAAATAATAAAATCGATTGTATTCAGCGTCCAAACTTAATTTAATTCCACATAAAGTATATATATTTATGATCAGCATACAATTCTAAGTCGCTGTGTCAGTCTGTTTGCCTGTTGTAATCATGATACAGTCCACATTATTTAACAAAGAGCTTGGAAATTTTGTGTGTATAGGATGGTTGGTATTGAAAATGAGATATATCGGTATCTCCCGATATTCAGTATTTTTATGATTTTAGTCACATTCTTCTACAAAATTATTCGAAATTTGCAATTAACAGTTTGTAACGGGTCGACCTTCCTACAGATCATTGTCTATAAAGGTCCACTTTTTCCTATTGCGCCCATATAACAAAACATTCCGATGTTCTGTATTTTAATGGTGTTAGCCCCATTTTTCAACAGCCCCATTTAGAAAACTTTCCAAAATAATTTTAGTTTTATTTAATTCTTTGGTTCCTTTTCTATTGAGTTTTACGATCTCGTCATTTATGTAAAAAATGTTTTTTGTCATGGAAGTCTTTTTTTAAATAAATTCTGGGGAGAATATCCCAGACAAAAAACAAGGGAACCGATGAGGATTGGTGGCTCTTTCCGAAACCTAGGTATTCCTTGCCTTACCCACTGGTAAACATTACCATCTTTCTCCACTAATAAACATTGCTTTTTATGAAAACAACAATAAAGAGATAAAGCCTGGCCATTTTGCAACAACAAAAATTTTGTGTATGTATTTATTGTTTTGAAAAATAAAAACAAAATATTTTCAGAATTAATGATTGGAAAAAACTTACTTTGTGGAACGCGCATTAAAGCTATTCGCCAGTTTTGCCATGGATTTGAAAGATCAAACTCTTTAGATCACATTTTTGAAAGAAAATCAAGACATTTAATAATTTTTTGCGCTATTTAACTCATTTTGAAAATTAGGGAAACTATCGAATAAATGAAACAAACATGTTGTATGCAAATTTGACAGAAAGCGGGTATGGCCTCGAGGTGTATTTCTGTAGTTTTGCAAAGCTGTTCACCTCCTTATTGTACTATGACTCCTACCTGCTCATGCTAGTATCTAATACACTAGCTCGTGTAAACTTTGGGTTACTAGAATGGACGTTTTCACAGAATCTATCTTTTTGTTATGTCATATCCGTGTGTGGTAACACTATTATTTATATTCACAGGGTGGCAACTACCTTCAAACAAACGTCAAAAAATACCTTTTTTCTGTCCGCCTTTTTCCGGTCGGTCCTAAAACTGTAAGTTCGTGTTTTTTGAGAATAAAAATTTTCTTGTTTTGAATCGGAGGCTATAGTCAATTAAATGTTTTGAAAATGTGAAAATTTCGTGATACACATGTTAAGTTGTATAATGCGTACAATATTTGTAACAATTAATTCCTAATTATTTGTTTATTTTGATATTTGTCTGATCTAAAATGTATAATTACTGCTACGTAGCTGATATACTGTTTTCAATTTTCCTGCATTTAGTTTCAAGTTTTACAAATTAAACTGTCTTCTTTGAAATGGTTCATCTGTTTCAAAATTTCCCTGTCTTACAGTGTTATCAACATGAGGACTATTAACTCCAATCAGTGCGTTAAGATCCCCAAGAATATCAAGGCGTCCGTCAAGGCCCGCGTTGTTACAATATCGGGCCCAAGAGGTATTCTTAAACGCAGCTTCAAGCACTTGGCCTTGGATATGTACATGGTAAACAAACGTACACTTAAAGTTGAAAAATGGTTTGGAGCTAAAAAAGAATTGGCTGCAGTACGTACTGTTTGCAGTCATATTGAAAACATGATCAAAGGTATGTATAAACAGAATACATTCTTATTAAGCCCCAATAGTAATTAAAAAACATTACAGGTGTGACTGTCGGCTTCCAATATAAGATGCGTGCTGTGTACGCTCATTTCCCCATTAACTGCGTTACATCCGAGGGCAACACTGTCATTGAAATTCGTAATTTCTTGGGAGAAAAATACATCCGCCGTGTACAAATGGCTCCAGGCGTTACTGTCGTCAACTCGACTGCCCAAAAAGACGAACTTATTGTGGAAGGTAATGATATTGAGGCAGTTTCGGGATCTGCAGCCCTCATTCAACAATCCACCACCGTCAAGAACAAGGATATCCGTAAGTTCTTGGACGGTTTGTACGTCTCTGAAAAGACAACAGTTGTCAAGGAGGAAGTTTAAAGAAGCTTCACTTATTTTATTTAAAAAAAAATAAAATAAGCTGTTAAAAACTTTAAAAACCTATGTTATTTACAAATACGAAACGTAAAATATTGGACTTGTTAGGTCTGAAAGATAATATATTTTAAAATATTAAGAGAGTATGGTTACTCGAATATTTTCTCACAATTTAATTCGGATAATTACAGTCCATCTGAAAATATTAGTGAAATTAAATAATATTCTAGTATTGTAGTTGTGTTAGTGATACGGAGCCAACAACGGTATTAATTTAACTAAGTGAAGTAGGTTTTTTTTCAAAAACTATTTTTCCAAAGGCAAATGTGAAAATATGGATGAACAGAATGAAGTGTTCAGCAAAAGCTGCAAAATGATGGATACATATACATCATTGAATTGGGTGTAAATTAAATCCTTTCCCCAAAATACAAAATATATTTGCACGGATCGCACGGACCAATTGATTAAACCCATCACGCTTTAATTTAGTGTACGCCCAGCTGGCGGAAAAATCCGAAATTTGTTTTGAAATCAATACATTCCGAGATATTGGGTTCCAAAGGTACAAAAATACCTATTTTTACTTAGCTGTTTCTAAACCTATAAACGAGAAAAGATACTACCACATGTAGATCTTATCCTGATTACAACAGCGTACATTTTTTGGGAGAAATTTATACTTTCCGAGAAATAGAATTCCAAATATCCACAAGTGCCTTTATTAATTTCGCTGTTTCTAAAGCGATCATTGAAAACAAAATTGAAAATATACGTAGTGTAGGACATTGCCAATGGCAGTAAATCCCAAGACCCGGCCGAAAGTATTAAATAAACTTTGGTCCGCAGAGACTGTAATGGACATACCCAGAGAATAAAATCTTTAGCTCCAGTCAAAGCCCGCTACTTGAAGAAAATCATTAAATTTAAAAAAATGGTTCCCGTTAAATTCTGTTGCTGCAATGAGAATAAAAAGAACTACGTGTGGTATTTCAAAGTTTCTTATTCGTTTATCGGGTGAGAAATAGCAGAGTGAAAAATATGTATTTGGGAACCCATAATCTCGGGATTATGGGAAGCTATGTTCACATCGGCCTGAAGTTTTTTTTTTCACATGTAGATATTTTTAATCTGACTATGGGATGTTATGTTAATGTTATAAAATTTACAACAGCGTCCTTTCAAACATTAGAGAACTGTCAAAAGAATTCGTAGACACGAATATTATGGTAAAATATGTGTCGATATTAAGCTAGAAATACATAAAGCGCTTATCTGGCTGGCTTAAGTCATCGGCTGGCTTCTTCGTAGAGGAACAAAGGAGTTTTAGGTTGACTTAGTTCGATTTTGACCCTAGGCTCCTTTGTTCATTTCCGAAGAACCGCTTTATGTATTCCCAGCTTCAGTCTTTTGATAGATCCAAAATTAAATTTTAATAGTCATGTAATAACAATGGTAAATCAAGCAAATGTTTTGTACAACGATGGGCCAAAGAATTTTCTGATCCATATATAACGAAACATTTATTTACGTCTATTTAAGGCGTAAGCTTTAGTATCTCACCCAACGTATTGCCAAAAGTAAAGAAAAATGGAAATACATCCTTTTTTCTTTGCTAGGTTGCAGTATATTACGTGACTTTATCACATCTTTTCGGGGCTCATTGGAAAGTTGATTCCATAAAATTGTTGAATGCGTGAACGAACTTTGAACGTTGTGGAACGAAGTAAGTAGCAGCCTTCAGACCCAAATGGCAACGGTCATATAGTGGTAGACCTTAATGAATTGAATATAGTTTGGCTCCCTCTTTCCCAAGTTTTGGATATTGACAACTACTTACAAGTCTCCGAATAAAAAGGACTGAATAAGAAAACATCTTTAACCATTTGTCCCATTATTGGATAAGAATCGCATGTAGCTGGATAAGAATCGCATGTATACTTTAAATAAAAACTTGGGAAAGAATGTTTTAAGCATATAATTTTAGTTTGTCCCAACGGGACCAATAAGTCTGTCAAATATCATTCATCGCAACACGTTTTCAGAATTGCTTGGCATCGATGGACTGCAAAAGGAAGCTATTTTAAGATCAAACATGACATTTTATTTAATTTTTTTTGCTTTTTTGGAAGAATGAGGTGGAATAAACCATCTAGACCCGAGTAACCCAAATTATTCTGAGATTCGACATATCATATTGTCAATTACACCTTATTCAGTACACCTTAATTTGGGCTGTTTCAGAACTGCAATCAATTTCTCCAATTAAAAAAAAAATAGCAAGTTGATTTAAGGGGCTATTCGGATTATTATGAAATTTATATCACAGGTAGGTATTTTAATCCTGAATACGGATAAACAAATTTTCCAGAACTGCAAGAATGTTAATCAATTTCGATATAGGTAATCGTAGTAACAATTTTTACATTTTTGCAGTTCTGGAGCTGAGCAGTAGCACCGTTCATCTTTAACAAAGTTATATACATCGAATTCAGCCCTATTTTTTTCGTATTAATGATTATATTATTTTTATTAACACAACGAATCGGTACTACCATGGTACAATAAAATCAAGGTAGAGCTATGATACCATACAATTTTATTTTGTTTATTTTCTTGGCTTAATATGTCAACTTTATTTGTATAAGTGTATGTATTCTTTACAATAATAAAAAAAATTGTTCAGAAAATATCAAAATTCGGATGTTTTCAAAATGTTTATTGCAACGTATGCATCTAAACATCTACAGTTTTTGTAGCGAAATAAACCTTAGAGAAATATACAACATAATTTTGAAAAGAAATTTTGACTTTTCATTCAATTTTTTTGAAAACCGCGAACAAAAACTGTAGATGTAGATGCATACGTTGCAGTAAACATTTTGAAAAACCCGAATTTGTATGTTTTCTGGCAATTTCATCCGATTTTTGAACAAAAATTAAATTTTTACATACCAATGTTAGACCATGCTATATCCTCCAATATCAGAACGTAGACCTCGTGGAAAATGTTAGGCAGATCTGGGTGAAATTTGGGAAATTAAATATATCGTTGGGACAATAATTGAGAACACATATTTTCTAAAACTCTTAATTTTATGCGATCCCAAAATTTGTAATAATAAATAATTGCCTTGTTGCAGAACTTTTTATTACAATAACCGATGTCCCTTTATGATACGAAACATCGATATGATATGAAATCGAATTCGGAAAACATGTAGCTACGATCTGTGGAGCCTTTAAGTACAGACGTAAGTGCCCCTTAGACGATCACATACATTAATTTTGATTTCGTGCTGTCAGACAATGTCGATAACGGACGATGGCGATTTTGGTCGTATGTAATTTACCTTGTCAAATTTCATTGAATAAAAAAGAGGTTTCCATCTCTGATTTCTGTGTATACTATGGATTTATAACTATAAATCTTGACAATGAGATGTTGTGAAATGAACATTTTTGAAAAAAATTTTAAACATCTGATTGCATGATTTTACCTTCTTAATTCTACCGTGGCCGTATACTTAAAAAAGAGAGAGAAAAAAACAGGTACACAAAAATTGAATTCACGATCGAAAATTTATTAAAAAATATTTTAAGAATGAATATTTTCACTAAAGCCTTCAATGCCAGGCTGTGTGTTTAAAATCAGGAACTTAAAGAAACATTAAAGCAAATTATATCTTGCTGACCCAAAGTTACACGCCTCCATAATAGAATCAAAATCAAAAACAAGAATCTCTTGTAATTCGCGGGTCTGAATTTCGGGTCCGACCTAAATGACATAAAGCAGAAACTTGACGAACTGGTTCCGGAAACTGCAAACATGTTTCAAAATGTAAAGCATCTTCCTCTATAAAGGGGAATGTTGATACTGGACTTTTTCTGTTTTCCTTACATATGGAAAAAAACTGGCGAATTAACTCATATTCGGGGCTTACAAGACCAAAACCAAAAAAAGAAAGGTGGTGACGTACGATGCTATAGTGAGATGGAAAAACTGCAACCAACTTCAGACTGCTGTCATTTCTACTGGTAGCCTGTTGTCCTGTTGGAATGTCCAAGGTCTGCGAGCAAAATGTTTGCGTGCCCTTTAATACACCCTCCAGAATATTTTCGCGATAATATTCGGCATTTATTCTGAAGCCACGGTCGATTAATGCGAGCGGAGAGCGACCATCGGATGTATGGCGGCCCACACCAACACCATGGCCGGCGCTTGAGTTCTGGTGGCCAACCGAAGGTACACATTTTCAGCTGACCTCTTTGGCAAGTAATAACATTAATCGGCCGATGTATATATACACACACACACACATATATATATATATATATATATATATATATACATATATATATACATGGTACAATGATATCAAGGTAGGGCTATGATACCATATGATTTCAATTTTTTTATTTTCTTGGCTTAATATGTCATTTTTATTTGTTTATGTATGTGTTTTCTTTTCAACAATAAAAAAATTGTTCAGAAAACATTCAAATTCGGGTGTTTTCAAAATGTTTATTTCAACGTATGCATCGACAAAATCTAGAGTTTTTGTAGCGAAATAATCCTTTAGAGATATATAGAACTTGGTTTTGAAAAGAAGTGTTGACCTTTTATTCAGTTTTCGCGGTTTTCAATTATTTATTCAAAATAAATGCAACAAATTGTTTGATTTTTTTTATTGTTTTGATACTAATTCTGACATTACAAGCCAAACAGGTAGACCTCTATACTTGCAATTTTTTCAAAGTTGGCCTACCTTCTCTTCATTGTACCATGCATGTATATATATATATATATATATATATATAAACTAGAAAAGGTTTTACCATATACAATTTTTGACTGATTTTTAATCACTTTTTTACATTGCTTTGTGCGATGTTTTTATTTTCAATGGCTTTTGCTACCTCCTGTTTCCTGGCTGAACAGATTTTGCTGAAAGTTTCCAAGTATACTACAACATCGCCTAAAAGTAATATAGGCTACATAATTTTTTAAATCAACTCGATATATTTCGACTATTTCAGCAGTAAGATTATTAACCGTGTCCTAGGTCTTCACAAATATATACAGAAGCGAGGTCTACGAAATTCGATTTCAAGGTATATTTGTGAGAATTCCACAAACGTCCCAAGTAGAAAACAAATATTTTTATAAAACGATGACTTTGTCGAGTGCCGCACGCGTAAATACGGATGTGAATGCACATAAACTGGATGAATATTTGGACTATGAAAATTATGTCGTTGACTGGGTCAATCAAGACGATTACCAATTAGTAAGGAAAATCGGCCGAAAATATATATGGGAGCTATATCCGAATATGAACCGATTTCAATATAATTTGGCAAATTTATTTTCTGGTCAAATCCCGTCACACATTCCAAATTTCACTGGATTCGAACATACATATCGTGTTTGGTGCATCAAATAAACGAAATCGGTCGAGAATATATATGGGAGCTATATCCAAATCTGAAACGTTTTCACCATATTGTTTGCTGATTTAATTAGTATTTCTACTGTTGATTGTTGGACTTAATTTGGCCATTAACAATAGCCATTGCTTCACGTGCAGTTAAACGCTCAACATGATCATAACGTAAAAGCAAGAAAATTAAGTGCTTCTGGCGACACAAGATGCTGATTGTCGGAATGAACAAAACGTTTCCACCGTTTGCGTGAATGCCTTTGCAAAATATCATGGAATCTTCGATCTAATTCAATATTGTACTTATCCAAATAAGCATACAGTTCTTCAGTGCCCAGGACTTTCGCTATACGAACAAGTCGATCGTAATTATCATGTCCATTGAAAAATGGTTTTGGCGGAAAATCATTGATGCTAACATGCAGCCTAATGACCACATATCCAGAGAGTAATCATACATTTGATAATCTACTAATAATTCGGGCCCTTTAAAATAGCGTGATGCTACCCGAATATTGTACTTTTGGCCAGGATGATAGAATTCAGCTAGACCCCAATTTATTAAACGCAATGTGCGATTTTCATGATCAATCATAACATTGTGAGGCTTCACATCGCGGTGCATAATTCCCATACTGTGGCAATAATCGAGTGCTTCCAACAACACGAACAGGTAGTATCGTATTTCATAATCTGTTAGTGTTTGGTACATCTGCTTGAAATCTGTATTATTAACATGTTTAAAAATTAAGATAGGAGTGTGTGATACTGGGTCTTTTACCATGGCTAACGGTGTTATAATGTTGGTGCCTCCGTGTAAGTTTACCAAAATTTTTATTTCTCGCTTAATCTTCTTCTTTTCAACAGGCTTTAGAATTTTAACAACGCATTTTTTAATGTTGGTCAGTTTTATAGCTTCAAACACTTCAAAATATTTTCCTCTGCCCAATTTCCTTACTAATTGGTAATCGTGTTGATTGACCCAGTCAACGACATAATTTTCACAGTCCAAATATTCATCCAGTTTATGTGCATTCACATCCGTATATACGCTTGCGGCACTCGACAAAGTCAGTGTTTTATGAAAATATTTGTTTTCTCCTTGGGACGTTTGTGGAATTCTCACAAATATACCATGAAATCGAATTTCGTAGACCTCGCTTCTGTATATATTTGTGAAGACCTAGGACACGGTAAACCCCTTCAAAATACCCGGTTAATAATCTACTGCTGAAATAGTCGAAATATATCGAGTTGATTTAAAAAATTATGTAGCCTATATTACTTTCAGGCGATGTTGTAGTATACTTGGAAACTTTCAGCAAAATCTGTTCAGTCAGGAAACAGGAGGTAGCAAAAGCCATTGAAAATAAAAACATCGCACAAAGCAATGTAAAAAAGTGATTAAAAATCAGTCAACAATTGTATATGGTAAAACCTTTTCTAGTTTATTCAACACCACGCAAATAAAACGCCCTGATATCCTTCAAAAACCGCAGTCAATTCAACAATTCTTGAAACTGGCCAATCTCTTCCTACAATCTGAAAAAATGTTTAACATTAAATGTACGTACACCAGTTGTTACTAGTACCGAAAATGTTGATGTTGTCTTAATACAGGAATGTCTTCTTCAAAGACATAGATTTGTAAAAATAGATGGATACAAATTTATTTATGATAACTCTTTTTTGGGTGTTGCAGTTATTGTTAAAAACAATATTGTCTTTTACCGCGTAAACCCATTTTTGTGATATTCAACTGATGGTCAGGACGGAAATCTGGCTCTGGAAGTCTCCAAAGACATAGATTTGTAAAAATAGATGGATACAAATTTATTTATGATAACTCTTTTTTGGGTGTTGCAGTTATTGTTAAAAACAATATTGTCTTTTACCGCGTAAACCCATTTTTGTGATATTCAACTGATGGTCAGGACGGAAATCTGGCTCTGGAAGTCTCCAAAGACATAGATTTGTAAAAATAGATGGATACAAATTTATTTATGATAACTCTTTTTTGGGTGTTGCAGTTATTGTTAAAAACAATATTGTCTTTTACCGCGTAAACCCATTTTTGTGATATTCAACTGATGGTCAGGACGGAAATCTGGCTCTGGAAGTCTCCATTTAAGAAGGTTCAAGAACCCGTGAATGCCAAATGAAAGTGGAAGCTCTTACGAGCATTTTGGTATATAATATGTTCTCCAAATCAGTAAGGTGTAATATTTTTCGGTTGGCACTTGAAGTATTATTTGCAGTGTCTATGATGTCTGGTAAGAATGTTAGAAGGGTTGTTTTTAGAAGCTATACTACTAACAAGTAAAAAATATTAAGTTCGGCCGAACCGAACTGTTAATACTCTCCATCATTGGTTTAAGAAAACATTTTTGTATAAAGGAATCTGGATTCAAACATGTTCCACTTCAAACTTTTCAAAAAACAATAAAGTGGATGACGTCTTTATATGGTGGCCATACCAACAGGGAACCTATATGGGTGATTTTACACTTCAAGGGTTGTTATCTACCAATTCTTCTTAAATACCAAATTTGAAACAATTTCATGGGCAAATGTGACTAGAATTATCAAAATATATATACAATGATGCGCCACGGGAGCTAGAACCTATTACGACTATTAACTAAGAAATATCTACATAATTCACCACTCAAAATTTGCTGAGCGAACAAAAAATTTTGTCCTTTGTTCCATTCAAATTACTCTTAGAACTAAGATGAAATGTGTGCCAACCCTAACAAATGGAAGCATTTATCGAAATAATAAATTATGACATTTAAAAATTCAAAATAGAAAAATTTAATGAAATTTTAAAAAAATTTGGGAATGAAAACTACAATGTAAATTCTGTTTTCTCTCTCATTCGAGGTACGCATTTTGTCCACGAGTTGAAATTTCCAACAAAAACTGGGGCAATATTTTAAAAATATTTTTATCGGCAGAAAAAATGTTTGAGAAGTGTCTGCAGCAGAATTTAAAAATAGAAAAATATGTTCAAAATGTCAACATTCACATAAAAAGTTAAAAACATGAATGAAAGTTTTAAAATTAATGATATAATAAATGTTAAAAAAAAACAATAATTTCTTCTATTCCTATTAGTGAGAATTTAATGTATTTTCGTTAAATTCCCATTAAAATAAACAAACAAAATATTGGAAAAAAAGGAATTATTTTACTATGAATTACGAATCATGTCGTATGAACGGGTTAATTCGTGTACCTAATTCTGAGAGCGATCCACTTGATTGAAAGTGCAATGAGAACATAGCATTAGACAAATCCGTTAAAAATATGTCAAAAATCATCCAGATATCGAATATCGGTGGTTACCGTTATTTGTGCGCTAAAAAACAATGTTCCGCCACCGGAGCTGGAATCCATTGCGAACTACAAATGCCAATTTTACACAAATCCGTAAATAAATGTTATTAAAACCGTCAAAATAGCGAATATTGGGAGGTACCGTTATATGGCGGCTATACGAAAACGTGGACCTATATGTACAATATTCCACCACTGGAGCTGGAACCCATCATGAGCTACAAATACCATATTCTTTTCGAACGTTCGAAGGTTCCCAACGCCACTCTTTCTCACCCCAACCGACCGTCGGGCGACCTCTCCATTACGTAGGGATCGCGTACTCACCATAATCCGTACCATGGTGGAAAATTAGTAGGCATTGAAATACCAGCTACAGAAAATACTTCATCAGCCGGTGGAAAAAAATTTATTGCTACTCATTTAGATACATAATTATTCTATATTTTGTTATGTCAATACTAGTACCAAAATCTACGACATCATACAAAGAATTGAAGTCTAGACACATTCTACTTATAGGTTCACCCATAAAGTAATTAGTTTGGTGAAACTCAATATTTAAAAACTGATAATACCTGCCTAATCTAAATTGGATATTAATTCTGAAAGAGGAAATAAGAGAGACCGAAGGTACGTTACCATCTAAGATTTTATATGCCATTATGGTATTGAACATAATACGTCTATTTTTTAGTGTAGGTAATCGAATTGATTTTAGTCTGCTAGTATAGGGCGGTAATGCAAAGCCACTGTTCCAATAATCAAAGGATTCCACGGATGTTAAAATGTTCCCGTTAATATTATACACAGTTGATAAAGGAACAGATCGTGAAAAGCACATGTGTTTACATTTTTTTAAATTTAAGTCCATGAAATTTAAACAGCACCATGAAAACAGGTTGTTGAGTTCATATTGCAATAAAACTGGTTTTTCACCGGACTTGTGTGTTAAGAATATCATTACATCTTCTGCATACATCAGTAACTGGGGATATATTTATATAAATCCATGGAAAAATTTGGCAAAATCATCAATATACCGAATATCGGGAGGTTTCGTTATATTGGGTTATACGAAAACGTGGACATATATATCATTTTTATTTTTTGGTTTTTCATTTTCAAAACCAACCAAAAACTGTTATGCCGAATTTTGAAGCTCTGCGTCAAATATTGTGGGCTGTACCTAGATTTCAACAAATGGGCATCGTTAATTCGACCTAGAATTTTATGCTGAATATGAATATGAATTTGTTCTTGCAAATCCCATTATTGTTGTTTATATAAATACAACGTTTGTTTATTAGTGGAATAAGATGGTAATGTTTACCAGGGGTAAAGCAGGGTATACCTAGGTCTAGGAAGGAACCACCAATCCTCATCAGTCCCCTTGTCTTTAGTTTGAATACGAATATATATACTTTATGGGGTCTATGACGAATGTATGGGGATGTTATAATCGGAATGAAAAAGTTAATATATCCTCCTTTACAAGGTGGAGGGTATAAAAACGGTCTTCCGTCACATTAAATAAGAGGTATGATTTGACAAGTTCTCTATACTTTGCAGAACATGTAATTTCACCGAATTTTTGAATAACTAACTATTGTTGAACGATACTCTATATGTGACTGATTCAAATAACTAAGGTCAGCGTACTCTTACGGTTGATTTCACATTGTGAAACGTATAATGTTAAACTGAAAAGAAATGCACAAACATATGCGATCATCGTTAACATTTTGATAAGGAAATAATAATTGTTTTAATATCAAACATCTGTCTGGTTTAATCTATAGAAATGTCAACCCTTGTGTTAAATCATTAAAGAATATAATCAAAATGAAGTCTTTCAATAAATATTATTCTGCCAATATAAATAATTATTAAACCTGTAAGAAGTCTTTGTTATGCCGGTATTTATTGAGGTTAATAGCTTATTGTTATACCCTGCGCTACACTGTATTATGTCTCTGTGCATTTGTTTGTAACATGCAGAAAGAAACGAATTAGACCCTTCCAAACCCTTCCTCCCAAAGAATCACGTTCTGAGTCCACTCATTTTTGTAAACAAAGTAAAGGTGGAATTTATTGTCCAATTGATGATTACACAAATCATTCTTTTCGCTCAAGGACTGAAAGCTTTCTCACTCCCGTTCGTTCACTATAGGTAGTCCAAGACCCTACTCCCATTCGACGAGCTCTAAGTGCACTAATGCGTGGTCAGCTATGGAATTCATCTAACGATATTTTCCTGAATTTATCATTTAATTTTAGCATACACACTACACCACTCAAATGCTGCTCTTCGGCACATGGAAAGTCATTTTAAAATGTTTTACTTCAGCTTGTTTTCCAATATTATCAGCTACTCGTTCCTTCGATATTTATAATGTTGATGATTGTATAAATTATTTCACAAAAGAAACAAACCAGCTGTTTAAAATCAATGTTATGAAAAAAAGAAATGATAAGACCAAAATCAAGGCAATGCTTTTAGTTAATAAACAAATATATAAAATATGAAATGCAAGCAGTACTATATTTTTCGTCAACAACATCAAAGCTATTAGTCTGCTCAGTGTAGGGCGTTGTGAGGTATTTTTACACTCACCATAGGTGCACAATTCTTTATTCCACAATTCCCTAATCTCTGAATTTGGAATCTCAAGACTGTACACAGGGTATTGTGATTCGTCGATATGTCCAAAATAAGCTACACTTCTAATGACAGTATTAGCAGCTCAAGTAAAGCGGGTGAGAGGTGTATTCGACAATTTTAGGTAGAACTCGCAAAAAAAAAAAGATTTTAGTGGAAGTTGGGCAAAGATAAATTTTGAATTTCATTAACTGAAGAAAATCTGCTAAGAGTTGTAGTGCATTGTGACAGAAACTAATTTTATTTAAAACAAGTAAAAAGCAGCTAAGTTCGGCTGGGCCGTATTTTTAATACTCTCCACCATTTGGAAGGAACTTGAAATATTAAAAAAAAAAAAAAAATCTGAAAACTATCACTTAAATGAAAACCGTTATATGGGGACCATACGAAGACGTGGACATGCTTACGAAATTTTTTATCATAACCGTAGTATTCATTACGAACTTTAAATACGAAATATAAAATGGTTCCGGTGAATAATGTTGCTGAAATCGTCAAAATATCGACTATGCGGAGGCTATACGAAGACGTGGACCTGCATACAAAAATTCTTGTCATAGGTTGTAGGACCCATTACGAACTTCAAATACGAAATTTGAAATAATTCCGAAAAATAATGTCCCTGAAATCATGAAAATACCGAATAACGGGAGTACCGTTTTATGGGGCCAATACGAAGACGTGGACCTGCATACGATTTGCCATAGGTTGTAGTACCTATCAAGATCTTTCAATACGAAATTTGAAACGATTCTTGTGAATAATGTTGCTGAAATCATCGAATTACCGACTATCGGGAGGTACCGATGGCCCACTTACGAACTTAACCTGTCTACTGGTAAACTATGCATGTATGCAAAATTTTAGCCATCTATCTCAATTCGTTCGAAAGATATCGAGACGGATGGAAAGACAGACATTGCTAGATCGTCTCTGAATTCTACGCTGATCCAGAATATATGTGTACTTTGCAGGGTCTATTATGAATATTTCCAGGAGTTACAAACGGAATGACAAAGCTAATATACCTTCCATAGAATGGTGGAGGTTATAAAAGAAGGTGGAAGTTTACTATAGTTGCTGCAGTATCAACAACGTTAAGGAAATTGACAGTTTGAAAACGCCAACTGTAAGGTATTCTGCAAAAGTGTGATAAATTTCTGTTTTACCCTACTGTGCAGAACCAACCACGAATACCGCACAAAAGCAAGCAGCTACACACCCATACAAGAAAATCAAAACATTTGTTGTTATTTTTACTGAATATCAAACCGACGCAAAAAGGGCTCGTGGAATCATGGGTATATAAGCCATCTTCGAACTTGACCTGCCTGCAGACAAAAGTCTGATATGCGCAAAATTTTAGTTTCCTATAATTATTCGTTTTGACCTTAGCGTGATTACAATAGACGGACGGACGAACAGGGCTAAACTAGAATTTTACGCTGATCAAGAACATATATACTATGTTATGTCTAAAATGATTATTTCGATGAGTTACAAACGGAATGACGAACTTAATATACCCTCCATACAAGTTGTAGGCAACGTCGTATTTGATGTAGGTATTTCTATTTTCTATTATATTTCATTTCGTTTGTAAGTCATCGAAATAATAATTTTAGACCCAACAAAGTAAATGTATATATATTTTTTAGCGTAAATTAAGTGGATTTAGCGTAAATTCTTGCAGCGATCTGTCTTTGTATGCAGGCAGTTCAAGTTCGAGTAGAGAACATTAATACCTGGAATGGAATTGTCTATATAGGTCCACGATATCCTATATCACTTATACAACGGTTCCTCCCAAAATTCGGTATTTAAATGACTGTAGCAAAATATTTCGATTGAATTTTCTGATTGAAATTGTCATACTTCCTGGAAGAGAATTGCCTATATAGGTATACTTTTTAATCCAAAATAGTGAGTGACATTTTAAATGCAAATCAGAAACAAACCGAATGAACTACGTATGTTGTGACAGGCAAAGTCTGTAAATAATAGATGTACTCTACCGATCCCTTAGATTATTCTATTAAAATTAAATTTCTTAAAAATAAATTGTAATATTTATATTAAAGGTTATTCAATTCAACATAACTACGTAATTGTCTTATAAATAATTGATTGTCTTTTACCGAATGTAGGGTAGTTGACATCCGAAGGAATCAACACTAAATTTATACGAAAATGGCGCTTTCATTTTTTAATAAATACTGTTATGATAAATTATCGTGAACACACCAATTGTATGTGATCAGCTATCATTTATCAGTTACGCAAATAAAGAGGGACAAACGGTTTTAGTTATATTTTATTTAGTTATGTTTTATTACAAATGCCGATGTTTCCTATGGACAGTTGAAAAACGTGTATTATGATAACCTTCGATTGAGGGAAAAATTTTTTTCTTAAACAACAGCGGACTAACTATTCTGTTTGTGAAGCAATTTATCTTTGTGCAATGTGGATTTAACAGGAGGACGTCATCCTCATTTCTTGTAGTGTTGGCAGACTACGGCAAAGGCGGCAATTACAAATGTCACTCCTTGGAAAATATAATTTTTTACACCTTTGACATTACGGACGAAGTACAAAGACGATTTACTTAAGGATGTGAACTTAAATATATAGCTTGAAGCAAACCAACTATAATTTATTTATTTTAAGTTACTTTTAT